ATATATATATATATATATATATATATATTACTCCGCATACGGGAAAGTGTAAAGACATAATAAAAATCTACACCCCTAAATAACAACCCCAGAAGTACAATTAAGTCATACCTATTGTTAAAAATCATAAAAGAGTAACACTAACGAAAAGGCATTTTGCCAAACTTCCGAGGTCTACTTACTACAATTCTGGATGTACACATTATCGGCTAGTTATTTGTGCGGCAATTGCCATCGTAAGTTTTATTAATTGGCAGCGACTTAGATAACTGAGACGGCACATTAACTTGCCGTCAGTGCTGGAGCTAGAAAATTTTGTGTCTATGCTGATGCTGAAACGTAGCTCCCTCCTCCCGGAAAAATGTGGAAGTTGTATCAAGAAACTATAGGAGGTATTTTATTTAAACAGATAACAAAAATTACGTTTAAGCTTCAAAAAGTTTAATATAAAATATATTTTAAATAATTGTTTTAAGTCAAAGTATTTAGTGGTCAAATAATATTATTTCCCCGGTGAGTTTAAACGCTAAAAACTTGTGTTTAATAAAATTACTTGTTAAATACATGAAAAATAAATATGAATTTCAGTAGATCCTATTTTAATATTAGCGTCATTTGATTCATTTCATAGAGTCCTACCTTGTAAGTAATGACTAATGAACTTTTTAAGGTAAAAAATTTCAGTAGAATTGAAAGTTTTATGAATTATTAGACTACTGAACCGTAGAACCACTTAATATTGCTTTTCCGTCAGACTAATGAACCGCAACTTATTACGATAACGATTTTCTCGATTTCTAATTTATTTTTCTGGTTTTTACAATTTTTTCGCCAGCAGTCCCATGATTGGGTCCCGGGCTGCCCTTGCACCGGCACTGCTTGCCGTTGACAATGCTTGGCGCAGAACGCGGACTACATACTCTGGCGGACTACATCAGTAGACCGTTGCAGGTAGCATGTCGGTTGATTCTCCGCAGCAATTGACAGTGGAGGTTTGGGAGGGGGGGGGGGGGCAGTTCGCCGTGCGGGGAGGTCGTTCTCCAGCCCAGGGCCGCCCGCAGGGGCCAGGCACGAACGTTGAAGCGGAAGTTTGTGGCCAAGCCCGATAACGTGCTTTAGGCTTAAGGCCCATTCACTATGCAAACGTGAACATAAGTATAGCGCATAGACATAAACATTAACAAAAGTGATAGACTGAAGTATTCACAATATCTAACATAAACGTAAGCAAAATATGAGTTTCTATTGGCTGTGAGACATTCTGGTACTATTGGGTGGATGTGAGAATCGATTTCAAGATATTGGCTGTGCCCATGGCCCATATGGCGTT